GACAATTAGAATATTTTTCAAACCTTTACTGAATATATTTGAATAATAGCTGTCAGGAAGTATATTAAAATCACTGGCTCCCCATGTGATATAAATTGCAGCAGAATGAAGAATGAAAAGAGACAGAGGTCTGGATTAGATGTATTATTTTTCTTAGATAGAAGCGTTCAGGAAAAGGCTATTATTCCATTCCATCCAAATCACCACTTGCTACAAATGTAAGCCAAAAAAACACTATAAAACAATATGTTCATATATTTACATATATTAGGAAGATGTATTGGATAACTGCTTTGAGTTACTTGTAAAAATAATAAAGGCAGAATATAAATAAATAAAATGTTTGAAGGTGGGGGCAGGATCAACAAGCATTTTTCATTTATTTTGCTAATTAATATTTTATCGTCCAGCAAAACTTCTGACTATTCCAAAACACTACACTTTTCTTTGGCATTAGGTAATCATTATTCTACACTACTCAAGCATACTGTAAGCATAACCTCTTATTTCGCAAATCTCCAAAAATTGGTCTTTCACGTGAAAAGCATGAACCCAGAACTCTATTCCAAGTGTTTTGTGGCAATTTCAAATCTATAAAGATTGATTGGCTTAGACACACTTTGCTTGTGACTTGAACAGAAGCACTTTGACCAAGCCAAGGCAATATACATATAGGAATAACACCAAAGCTTTTTGTCCAGAAAAATGCAGTACTAGAACCATCTACGATACTGTGCAAATTCTTCAAAACCCAAGGTCTTTTGTAACAGACCCGAGACTGAGGAAAACACAGACTCTATTCATGAGATAAGAAAGGGGGGAGAGGGAGGGAGCGAGAAGTGATATAGATTAGATAGATACATATTGATATAGATGACAGGGATAGAGATAAAGATAGGGAGAGAGGGAAAAAGAGATGATAGAGGTAGAGATACTGTAGATAGATAGTGTCTAAGTGTAGTGATACAGTAGATGCAGATGTAGATATAAATGTAGAAGTGGGTATAGGTATAGATGTAGATGTACACATATACACACACATACATACAATGTACATATTCCACCACCTCAGTACTTGGATGTTTCTGATCACCATAGTTGCTGTACCTGCACATTGAGCCCATTCACAAGAATATTCTGCAAATTGAGGAGCTCATATATTCCAAGTATCAACATTTTCAAAGTGTTTAAATTCACAGCAACATACTCATCCAGATTATGGTTTGTTTAGTTTTGATTTAGACTGCATCAACCCGCTGCTACGTTGCCACATAATACAGTGTTTGACTAGTTTTTGCCTGAAATCAGGACCTTAAGACAGTTAAGCCAAGGTGGCGCAGTGGTTAAATGCAGCACTGCAGGCTACTGTTAGATCAGCAGTTCAGCGGTTCAAATCTCACCGGCTCAGGGTTGACTCAGCCTTCCATCCTTCCGAGGTGGGTAAAATGAGGACCCAGATTGTTGGGGGCAATATGCTGACTCTCTGTAAACCGCTTAGAGAGGGCTGAAAGCCCTATGAAGCGGTATATAAGTCTACTGCTATTGCTATTGCTATTATTAAGATCATTTCTAGAGCCAAGGCATGGTAGCACTGATCTAGGTGTTCAAGACACACCCAAGTGAGAAAGTATAGAAATAGCAGAGAGGCAGAGTCCCAACTTTCTTATTAGCCAGGATGTATGTAATCCTTTGGCACTTCTAAAGGAAGGCAGAACCAGTGAGTCTAGAATAACCAATATATCTCATTTGTTTTTTATTTCAATAGAGTAGACTGTGTTAAGGATTAATTGACATGCCTAAGCATTACAAGACTGGGTCTTTTTAGCTTTAGGAAATTGAGCTATTCCTTGCATTGATTCCATTCTTAAGTCCTGTTTTTACTGCCAAAAGGAAAAGCATCATGTGACTCCAGATATACTTTAAGCCAAATGTACCCCTCCATTCCATATGTGGTGATAAAGGGTCTTGTATATGCTTTCTTTTTTCTTTATTATTTAAAAAAAGCATTTCAAACACTTCATTTATTTTTAATGAGTTCTAAAAGAGGCAGAATAATTAAAAGGAAAGCATAGTTCAAGAAGTGTGATACCTCTAAGGTCATAATTCTTTCCACTTGGAGAAGGAGGGAGCCCTGTAAATTCATAACCCATTAACTCCAACTTCCTTATTAAGGAATCAGACTTGTCAAGACACCATGTCTCATAATTGAAAAAGTCATGAAATATATCTGAACATAACTGGCAAAAGAAGGCCTCCAGCCAATTTGTCAGCTTGCAGTCTTCTCAGGGAAATTTGAACACTACAGACTTCAAAATATAATAAAAAAAAAATAATAAAAAGCTTGATGCAGCTTATTAAAGCTATAAAGCTATTTTTTAAAATGTATTTAGGGCTTGAATTTGGAAGAAGACAGATTGTAGGGGAGTAGCGCAGAGTCTTATTAGCGCATTGTATTAATTCAATTGATGTTGTCCCAGAGGGACATGGGGGATAGGGTATCATTTGTCAAAACAGATAGAAACCATCTGATTGGTTGTTGAAGAGAGTACTGTAGTTGGAACCCCAAGGTTAGAATGGATCATGCTGAAGTGATTGCATTTGAAAGGAGAGTAAATTTGCAGCCTGATCTGCAATTCTATTAAGCCAAGATAATTTAGGCTGAAATCCTACACATACAAACAGAGAGAAAGAGAGACAGACAGACAGACAGACAGACAGACAGACGCTAAATTCTAAGAAGACATTTTAAGAATGTTTTGCTTCTCATTAATGGTGTTTAGTTTGTATAAATACAGGGGAATCCAGAGGTGAGTGGTGAGGATGGACAAATTTACGACAATTGGATGATGACATAATGACAGGTGTGATGTCACTGGGGCTTCTGTGCATGGAGGTTCTATGCCGGGGTGTCATGGCGGCGTCATGTGACATATCAGGACTTTCCCCCCCCTTCACTAAATCGGGTGTGGGAGTGGCCAGCATGGCCCATAAGCCATGAGTTTTTCAGCCCTGTTCTATGCCTACATGAGGATCCATTCTTCTCTTATATAAAAATCTATTGACAGCATCCAGCTAAATATTCAGTTTACTTTACAAATATGAAATCAGGAATTGATCTGTAATTTTTTAAAAAATATGTAGGATCAGAATACTTTGTAATGAACAAAGTAAGAGAAACGATGCTATAATTAAAGGCATACAATATTACAAGTTTCATTCCTCTCAGCTGTGACTTATTTTAATCATGCACAGGGCCATCCATATGTTTTAATTCAAAAGATTCGTTATCAAAGAAATATTATTGTTGACTCTAGCAGTTCAAGTTTTTATTCTTTGCATTTGTGATCTTTTCAAAAGCCAGGTAGGTTTCGGTACTTCATTAGTCATATTGCGTAAAGATTATTCATTTTCTTTCTCTTTTGAAAGCTCTTTGAAATCTTTAATACAGTATGTTACACAGGCATTCTCAAAGCAACTCATAAATGGACAATATTTCTAGTTAAGAAACTCTATCAGCTCTCCACTTGCTCTTTGAAATCTAGAATTTTATTTTTGATGTTATTGTGGTTTTGATATGAAAACCATTCCCAAGGAATGTTAGATCTTCATGTTAGATGTCATGGTGCTTTTCAGCTCGACTACTGCTCTTAAGACTCTAGAAGACTGACTTTAAAAATCGGGGATTTGATTCCTGCTTTAGTTATTAAGGATTTTTTAAAAACAAAATAAACAAGACCTCTAGTAGCACAGTCAATGGGAAAAGGGAATTTTGGATTTCTTCTCTCGTAATTGAATAAAACATTTGGATCAGCTTTGGAACATCTCTTTGAAACCACGTTCTTATCGGCACTTCTCTCTTTTAAATTTACCCTTTTAAATTAATTCTTGTAGAGTAATAATTTAGGTCAGTGTTTCTCAATATCTTAACTTTAAAATGGGTGGACTTCAACTCCCAGAAATCCCGATAAACCAGAGTTTAAACTCCACAACTAAGTGCCATCAAGTGATACTGGATTGATACCCAATAGGCTTAAACTGCACCCAGCTCTATGTTGGTTCTTTTTTTCTCTTCCAAGAAAGAAGCAGAAGTCGGTATTCAACTTCTACAATCATTCCATTTATGCATTGCAATTGTTAATCATAGTGAAAAATAAGCTATTTATGCTGCCATTACACTTCCATATTTTTAGAGGAATGCCCTTCCTTGCTGTTTTATTTTCATTTTTTTCAAGAAAAAAGTAAATCTTGAAGCCTAAAAGAAGTAAAGGAAAGTGTGGCTTTGACTGCAGCTTGGGTTAAGGTTTGGGTTATTAACAGGCAACTATTTTATAGTTAGTTAAACAGTTAACAGATGATATTTAAGTTCCTAAACCTTGAAATGGGTTCATGTTTAGTCAAAGATTTTTAATTTAAGAAAATATAATGATCCTCCTTTCCTTAGGACAGGTTCTTCTAAAGCCACACACAACCAGGCACCGTATAAATAGCATGCACAGAAGAGCCCAAATCACACACTCAAGTAGAAGTTCCTGAGGATGGATTTCAGCACAAGTCCAATGAATAAACCTCTGGTCCCAGTAATTGACCCAGAATAGATCTGCAACAGGTTCTACTCATTATTTAGAAATGAAAAAGTAGGAATTTGTAGATTATAGGAATCCCAACATAAATTTTATAGACAATAAGTATGGATTAGAGTTTTTTTAAGCAAAAAAAATTAATAACTTTCTTGTTATTTTTTTCAAAATGTGAAATAAATGCAATCCAGTAATTGGGAAATAAGATTATGATTCTAGCACCTTTGGCAATATAAGCCATTCCATAAGTGTTGCAAGTTGACAATGGAAGTTGAAGGATATATCTAATTAAGGCTTGTGAGCCTGAAATTCAAATAAATGCTACAGAGCAACTTAGTTCTCATGCTTCATGTTATATCATTGGTACGTCAAACACAATGTTTTTTCTAAATTGTGTCTTTCTCTATATGTATAAATGAACAGATGCAGATAGAGCTCAAAAGCATGGCATGGATGAATTTATCTCTTCCAATCCCTGTAATTTTGACCACGCTGCACTTTTTGAGATGCTTCAGCGCCTCACTTTGGACCACAGACTTAATGATTCCTATTCTTGTCTGGCAAGTATACTTTTGGTCTATGCGATGTAAACTCTTGAGTACTAATGTCTGATTTTCTGATAGTGTCTGCAGCTGTCAAGGGAAACAGCTGTCAGTTGAAATAAATGCCTGTTTCCTTCAGGTCTGAATTTGGTCCTGAGAGATCTCATATTTCAAAAATTACCCTCTGTTCGAGTAGCAACTATTTCTGTGCGGTACGAGAAATCTGGCAGAATCAACAGATCTTGGCAAACATAAATATGTTTATTATCTCTTCTAACTGAAGAGATCCTTCAAATCCAATCTTCCTTTACAGTGAACCTGAAGATCACAAAGGATAAATATGGTTTGCAGTTGTGATACATTCAATCTTTATTTGATTTTTAGACCTTAAATCAGCCTATTAACCTTGCAACAAAAACCCAACTAAACTCAGAATTTTGTATTGGTATTGATAGATATGATAGATAAGATAGATGATAGATGATAGATAGATAGACAGACAGACAGACAGACAGACAGACAGATAGATAGATAGATAGATAGATAGATAGATGATAGATAGATAGATAGATAGATAGATAGATAGATGATAGATAGATAGATAGATAGATAGATGGATGATAGATAGATAGATGATAGATAGATTATAGATTATAGATAGACAGACAGACAGATTGATTTCAGTGATAATAGAATTATAGTTTGGGGATTGATGATGGAAAAACAATAAAAGTGAAACCTTTGTTGGAATTTAGAAAGTTCAATTAGAAATTGTTATGTTCTTGTAAATCTCTGGACTCATCCTCCTTTCGTTAATAGAGGAAGTACATATTTCTTCTTAACTGAATTAGTTGAGCAAAAGCTTAAACAGTGACTTCAACAGAAATATGTTTCTTGTTGCTAGTAAGTCTTTAACTGTTCAACATTTACAGCAGAAAGGAAACATTTAGCTAAGATGTCTAGCAGTTATCAATTAGGACACAACCTTCCTGTTTTGGGGTGTCTCTACCATGTTTCCCTGAAAATAACACAGGGTCTTATTTTCTTTTGACTCCCGAAATAAGTGCTTGGCCTTATTTTTGGGGAGGTCTTATTATTTTTGAGGCGCAGGAGGCAGAGAACATGGTCATCTCATGGCTGCTGCTGTGTTGCAATATTTTCAGGGAGGGTTTATTATCTGAGGAGGTCTTATTTTCGGGAAAACAGAGTACACCAGGGGTGTCAAACTAGTGGCCCATGGGCTGGATGCGTCACGTGCTGGTCATACCCACCCCCAGTTTAGAGAAGGGAAAAAAGTCATGATATGTCATGTGACGACAATGTGACGATGCGAGTTTGACACCCCTGCTTTACGCAGATACACTCATTTTTCATCACCATCAATAAATGTGCCTGCCTATTTTTATCGATAGTTGTGTCAGTTAGAAATAACAGATCTGGCCATATACCATAACAGCATCCCATTTCACTGTTTTGGCCATGTGATGCAAGACCAATGATGGCCTAGAAAAAAACAATTTTGCCTCACACGATTGAGAGATAGTAGATGGCAGTTAAAATAAAACATAGTTTCGAAGAGATTACTTTATTCTCATTGGAAGAGCTGCAGAAGTGTGCTGAGACTAGATTGAGATGATGAAAAATTGTTGAAGCAGTCATCAGAAGTCAAGCCCAATTCAGTGGAGCTAACTAATTAACATTTAATGTAAGAAAATTTATGATGTTTAGAAATTTCACAAGCTGGCACCTATCAGGACTATGTTATATCAACTCCTGTAGATTTAATTTTATTGGTTGCTTTGTTCTCACAATAAAAAAAACAAACACTGATCATAACACAAACAAATGCAAAACATTAAACTTTCAAAACCTTTTGTAAATTTTTACAATAGGCAGAACAATGGTAATAGCTTTACTAAAAAAAAGAGAGAGCATAAATGCTCTTTAGAACCCATTAGCTTTTTAGATTTTTCTAAAAATCAGAAATGATGGAGCCATCTGAATTTCTGGTGGGAGACTGATCAATGGGATGGCGACCAAGATGTTCTTGCTTTTCCCTGGATTTAATTTGAGGGAGGAGCCTTCAGCATCTGGCCGCCATTTGTTGCTATCAGTCTCTTGGCACAGAGTATCTGAATTGATTCCCATCTCTCAGGGGGTCTCAAGTCCCAGTCAATTTTTCTCATTCATCAAGCTGGCATCCAGCAACCCAATCTTCATTCTAGGGCTCTGATTTTGGAGCAATCTGCTTCACATCTCATTCTCCTTTTGTTCCTTTTAACTCTAATCCCGTTCACTCGAAATTACCAGATTGCCATTTCCCTGCCTGAGATCACATCTGCTCACATATAAGGGAATTTCTGCAAGTCAGTTTTTAGTGCAGAATTGATATAGGTGAGCAACTAAAGGGTCATTGGGGACTTTCAAATCCTAAATTTAGAACACAGAGGATGGTTTTGATTTATTCCAAAAAGGAAGGAATTGTGTGGGATTTTAAAGATAAATATATATTTAACTCCCCTCCATATAAATTGCAAACTGTGCAATTTATTTTTTTGTTGTCGTTCGTATTGTTGACAACACTTATGTTCATAAGTCATCCATTGAAGACTGATTGATCTCCCCTAAAGTACCATCTTTTCTCTTTCTCAAGCCCATGATGTACAGTCTGACTTGATTTCCCACAGTCTAACAGAAGCGGAATTCTCTATGAAAACAAAGAAATTGACTCATTACAGATAACATAAAGGCAACAGTTTTTGGCAAGGAAAAGCAATTGGGAGGGGAGGCAGAGGTGTTGTTGGCACCATTGACTGAAACTTCCTGCCACAGTTTTCATAGCTGCAGGCTTCTTTAAGTTGCTCTCTGCAAACAATGATTTAGAAAAAGGCTGTGCTGTCCAACATTGGCTCCCTCCCTGCGTAAGTATTATTTGTACTTTTACGCTTTATAGATTTGCCATGCAAGGTCTGGTGTATTCAGTTCTGCTGCTCTAGAAGGTGCAGGGATCAAGTGGCTCTCTTTAATAATTAAATCAAATAAAATGTACACTGAAATATTCTGAAGTTAGCTGTATTTGCAGACTGGAAGAATGCAGGTTTTGCTGCAATGTCAAAGTACATGATTTCTAATTTTAGAAATCTCCAGTCTCCATTTCAAAATGAAGAAAGCCATCCATCCTCAAGTGGAAGTGCTAGAACAGTGGACCATGGAGTCTGTTTTAATTTACTCATTCAGAAGTATCTGTGGGTTTTTTTTTTAATTGAGAAGAAGGTTGTCAAAATCTAAATTGTCATTTTACATGATTTTTGTTGTTGTTCATTTTTGTATTTAAACACCAAATAAAATAAATAAAAACTGGGAAACAGAAGAAATCAAACAATATTTCCATTTTTAGAAAAGTCATGAAGATGCAATTTGCTATAATTTCTTTTTAGAATGACTTCATGCTTGCATCAGATGAGAGGTTTTTTTTTCAATTGGACCTGAATTATCAACTAGCATAAACTTCATTTGCTTGAAATGTTGTGTTCCAAGTTGGCTTTTGGCAATGCAGTTAACAATCTGTGAACCCGATACATTGCTGAAGCTATAATTCATGTTTACCTCATAACTCAGATAGTCAAGGCCTCTATCCCCTTGGAGGTCATCTTCAGACATACCCCTGAATGGAAAATGATGCCACATCAATGTAATGACATGCTGATGTCCTTTTTGGTTTCTAATAGGCTCAACTTTAGGGAGGTGATTTGTAAATAGAAAGCAGGTAGTATATAAGATACCTACAGTTCATTTTCTTCACGATCCCTTCTCTCTTTCTCTCACACCATTCTCAGGATTAAGAAACTGGTGGCTCACAAAACAGGCCGATGCCCTGGTGAAATTAAGGCAGACTGATATGTGCAACTCTCAAGTTGCAGATTAACCATTCCTTGCCTAAATTATTTTCATCTTGAGATAGAATCAAATAGCCTGGCTTCTGGGTTGAAAGCAGGGCCAAATTATTGGACTCTTGGGGTTTTGGCGGCCAGATTACCTACCGAGTTATCTTCATCCCAATACATCAGCCCATCCCAACTAGCCAGGCAAGAAAGATGTTGTGAATTCCCTCAGCTAAGGAATTCTTACTGGCCAGGTCCAGGATGGGCATCTTTTCTACTGTTACCCCTGCCTTATGGAGCATTCCTCCACAAGAGGTGAGCCTGTCCACCCTCACTCTCCTGGCCTTTCTGAAAGGTGTAAAAATACACCTTGAGGCACACAGAGGACAATACAGCCATGGGGCTGGTTAGTGCCTTGAACACCTCTCTCCCACTTTTTAACTTTAACACTGATTTTTAATTGCCTTTTTAAATTTTATGTAGCTGTTTTAGGTCTTAATATTTTACTTGTGCACTGCCTGAGTCCCTCTGGGAGGAAGGTGGGCCGTTGTAAAATCTGATTAAATAAATAAAGCACTCCCTTTCAGTGGGTGTAACTGCCTCTAGATTTCTTTGTATGATGAATCTGCAATTCAGTCTCATGTGGCATCTTGTGATGAGACCAACCTGTCAGAGTCTCTGATGAGAGAAGAAAATGTCCTAGATATGAATTTGAGTGAGAGAGCAGGATTGTAAAATATGAATAAGGGGTAGACTGAGAATTATTCAACACAGGCAACCAATAGAAGAAGAAGAGGAGGAGGAGGAGGAGGAAGAAGAAGAAGAAGAAGAAGAAGAAGAAGAAGAAGAAGAAGAAGAAGAAGAAGAAGAAGAAGAAGAAGAAGAAGAAGCCACTTGCAATAAGGAGCAAGAAAATAAAAAATAAAGAACAGCATTGATTCACAAATGCAGAACACAACACCAACTAGCTTGCTATCATTCCCTCCTCTTTTTTCTTTTGATTTGATTTTCACAGGGGTTTCTAGCTGCTTCACTCAGATAATTTAGTAGGAATTCTGAAAAAAAATTCAGTTTTCACAGTATAGCCATAACTAGATCAAATGTGTATTCAGTTGCCTAATTTTCCCTGTGCTTTAGAAAAGCAAAAACCATCTTCAAATGTGTTTCTGAAGTACGCCTTATGGGGAAAAATCACTCTTAGATTAACTAGGAGGCACTTGGTGGGAATCTGAATTGCAAGAAATGTTGCTATACAACTATTTTCTCAAGAATAATCATACAAATACAGTCAGCTGCAATGTTAGCAATATTTTTTGTCTCTGTGCTTTCTTCAGTTGTAGCTTTTCCATACCAGAGTTTTCTGGAACACTCAATTCTTCTTTCTGGAAATCAGTTGCAGAAAGAGGAGGGGAGAGGTATTTTTAATTTACCCCTGTCTTTCTACCTTGCCAAAATATTATGAGAGAAACAAAACCAACTGATTTTTTCTTAAGTAAGGAAAATGTTTTTGTTAGAGCTTTCACCCAATTGCAAAATTCCAGGAGTTCTTTTGAAATGACATAAAGAGAGGGGGGGGGAGGATTGCTTTTGACAAGCCACAGTCTGCGTTATCCTCCGTCAGCGTCTTCATTTTTTCACACATGCGCTTTCTGGCAATAGGCGTAATAAAAGGAACTATGTCTGTTTTCCATGCCTTTGATTCTGCCCCTCATTATTTTAATCCCTTTTCAATCTGTTCTGGAGTTGGCCCAACAAGGATAAGCAAATCCTTCGATGAAGTTCTTAATTGATATTTCTTCGACTCTCCTCAACAGTAGCATTTTGGCATCCAGAAAAGATTTGGTGTCATCCGAGTGGTAGAAATATATTTTAATCTTTTCACAGCGGCGTCATTTCAAAGACGTAGCATTTGGGGTGCCAGATGGGGTGGCAAAGAAGTTGCCTAGAGGGGCAGGGCACTGATCTAGTCGCCGCGGGAACTTTTCAATTAAAAGAAGAAAGAGTTTGAAGTTTTGAAGCCTTAGAAAGATATGTCTTGTCAATGGCTCCGTGTCTCTGTCGATACTGATTATTCTTCAGTGTGCTGCTGGAGTTCTTTTGAATTCTATCAACAGAATTTCATGTTAGGTGAAAAAGAATCTACCTGATAGCTGTTATGACAATCTCTTCTAATTAGACTTCCCATTATACAAAATGATAGTTTGGTGCTTTGACATGCCGGGATAGATCCACAAGAATACACCATCATTAATTTGTGTTTGTGTAACCTTGAAACTTCACTACTCTTAATACTTTGGAGATGTGCACCTGCCCTTGTCGATTGTTCAGCTAATACAACAAACAGAACGGGCTGCTGAGGTTATAATGCCTCTGTGTTTGTAATATTCTAAAGTAGAAAACAACTTCTAGTGATCCTTCAGCCATACTCTGTGGTCTTCACATTGACATATAAAACCCTGAAACAGCTTGAGCTATAGAAATTAAGAGATATACAGTATTTGTGTTAGTTTTCTACTGCTTTTTTCCATGAAATTCTGCCTCCAGATCTGGTTATTGACCATATTCCCATTCAAGAATCCATTCATATATGAATATCTGCCATTCCCATGCTCCAATGCACAGGTATTATTTAAGATCGTTCCCTTCCAAATTTCTAGGGATTGTCATGCAACCAGAATATATGCACTTTGGTTTACTGACTTCCATATAGAAGAGGATCTCGAAACACACGAAGAATGGTATTAGGGCCAGAAGTGCTATCCCAATTTCCACACATGCACATTTACTTGCAGAGAACAAAACATGTGTCATAGCTATTGCTGCTTACTAGAGAATTTATTTCTATAATGGGGGGGCGGGGGGTTCTTATATGGAGATCTCTTCTTTCAATGCAATATGCTATATTATTTTAGCCCGTTGATTCCAGTGCTCTATTCTAAGCATGATAAAGTTTGGAGTTAATTCAATATTTGTACATTATACAGCAAAGTGATAATCCAGAAAATCCAGTTGTGTCTTCAAAAAGCACCTTTGGGATTGAGAGCACAGTTGTATACATAGAGTAGATACGTGATTGATGCTTAATAAGCTGTTTGAGTCCTTTTGCAAATCGTCCCTGCAATATCCATCTCAGTATGTATTTCATATATACTAGATAATTGATGTTTCCCTGTTTAAAACTTCTGGCATTGTTTGGGTGAAGTGATATTTTACGTCTCACTTAGATCCTTCCACTCGATCTGTCAAGTCAAGGTTGCCTTTGGATGGTAGACCTCAATGTTGTAATATTCCTTTTACAAGTCACCGACTCAGTACTTCAATTGTCCACGAAAGCAGACATCCATGGTGCGAAGGGGCAAGAGAAGCAAATAATGCAGCTAGCATAAATTCCATATCTCATTTGGGTATCATGGTGCACCTACTAAAAGTTGGGCTGCTTACGCTATGACATCAAAAAAAGAACAAGTTGGTTTTTCAAACAAAAATGTAGTTGAACAAAGTCGGTTCTCTTCTAAACATTCCTATTTTAATGCATGTATTCAACATCAATATTTCATTTCTATTCCTAATTTGATTTTTCATAAATTGTGGTCTGGTGTGTCTTTTTTTTTTTAACAAAGTCTACATTTGACACAAACTTTCTCTATTTACCTACAGGGCTGGTTTAGCCCTGGCCAAGTCTTTGTCCTAGATGAATACTGTGCACGGAATGGAGTCAGAGGCTGTCATAGGCATCTCTGCTACCTTAGCGATTTGCTTGAAAGAGCAGAAAATGGAGCAATGATTGACCCCACCTTACTGCACTACAGTTTTGCCTTTTGTGCATCGCATGTTCATGGCAACAGGTAAGGGGGACCAGGTGTGTCTCAGCCATTTTGGCAACATTGCTTTTTGAAGTGCTGGTTTCTTTGGATAATGCGTAACTATACTCATAATTTATGTTTGTTTACTATCTTGAAAATAGCATATAGTTCTTGTCTAAAAAATGGTAATGCCCCACAAAACTGAAGTCCATCTTTTAATGCTTGAACCACTTTGAAAAGACCATCAGTTAAATAATTATGCCAAAGAATAAACGGTTGAATAAATTCACCTGCTCAGATAAGGAATTGTATGTGCTGTCAATATAAAAATGCAGTTTAAGAACTTCTCGTCTTTTTTTCCCTATTTTAGTAATTGTGGGAGTGCAACAACTGAACACTTTTGATGCTCTTCTTGTAAATAATTTGTGTGCTGCAATTGGTTGAAGAAGTGTATTTCAGGTTTGAGAGTGATGGAGAAAAACTCAAAACTGGGAAAAATTATTTCAATCAGTTAAAAATTTGTAGACATTTGAATATTTTGATTGCATCACAAGATGATGCAAAATGTCAATGAGATGCAGTAGCTGTCTTCCTTTTAATTTAAGGACTTTCTTAAATCCTTTACAGGACTTAAGAGAGAAAATGAAGTTACCTAAGAACATTTTGTGCTACGTAGGTTTGTAGGCTGAATATCTCTTTGTCAATAGGAATAATACTTTCTGAGATCTTCAGTCATGGAGATCAGCTAAATGCTCATAAAATCTCTTCACAATTTAATGTTTAATAGACTCAGAATTACAAAGAATCCTTAAAGAAAAAGATTTTGGAGTCAAGAGTTTTGAAGACATATCCTTATCCCCGTCCCACTTTAAGATTTCTGTGTGTGGGCTGAACACTTGCAGAAAGCATTAGCTTCTGTAATCCAATATGTTCATTCTGCTTACTTCTTAAGCTTCTACGTCATGATAACAGAAGAACACAGTATTCCTTCGACACCAACATAATGGCGTGCAGCAATTTTATATACGCTCTACTTTGGCTGGACTTAGGAAGCTGCCATTGCATCATAAAGCCACCATTTCTAAATGCCTTATCAAGAAAGGCTACATCAGATTCCTTTTGTACTGAGACTTCCATGCTTATAGACTCAAAATTTGTTTCATTTGCCTGTTATGCCAGTTAACCTTGCTGTAACAGATCAGATTAGATTCAAACTGAAATGACTTTTAAAAAAAACTTATTTCAAACTTTCAAACTTATTTCGGAATTTGAAGTCCATTTTAAATCTGAAAGTGTTACAGAAGTAAGTTTCCTAACTGTACAGGCTGGTGTAGCATTCCGTGCACCGATGGATTTATTTTTTGGAAGTTGTGTTCTATACAGTGAGATTTCACACTCTGTTCTACATATGCTACTGCATAACAGAGTGTTATAAAATAATGAAGTGTTTTGTAAGCTCTCTGGTAAACATCATCATGAATTATTATACACATTGCTGGTATTTTACATGTATGGCTGCCACTCAAGTCACAGTTCGCTTGATCCATCTCGTTACGTTACGGCATTTGGCTTGCCTTCTTTTCTTTGTAGTTCTGATTTCCTTTTTTTCTTCTTCTGCTGACAAATTGTTGGCATCTATTGTTATCATTTTATTGTTTAATGTTTAATTTTTACCTTGTTTTCTTTCGTTTCTTCTGTAACATCACCTTGCTGCTTTAATTTTCTCTTTCGTTATCCTTATCTTCTTTTTATGTTTTAATTTAAAACTCAACATCTCCAAAGTCAAACAATGGAAGAGATACTTGGTGGCATACAGCCAGTAGCAAATAACCCCCCAGCCTCTGAGGTAGAGGCCAAAAAGGATTCCAAAAAGGAGTCCAAAAAGAGGAAAGATAACAAATCTCAGCCACCTCCAGAACAAAAAAGGTAAGAAATAATAGTTTAGTGGATGGGAGTTTGATATAGGATATAGAGGAATTTATGCCTTCTTGATTTGAAATACTGGGGGAACTCTGCCTTATAGGAGTTAGATTAATATAGAAAGATTAGGTACAAAACTACAGCAGTTAATAAAATGCACAACTTTCTTAACTCAAAGGTTAGGAATCGAGATCCATAACAAGGAACCCAGCATAATGCAATTAATATTTGGCACCATGGTTAGGATTGACTTACCTGAGACACATACTCAGAGAGAAGTTGCTTGTAACCAGGGGGTTGGATTAGAAGACCTCCGAGGTCCCTTTGACTCTGTCATTCTGTTAAGTGGGGAGGAGCATAGGAGTAGGTGCTTCTTATAGTAATCCCTATGTTAAAGAATAGCCTGTGGTGGGATGTACTCAGGAATTGCAGGAGGGAGGAGAGAAGGCAAGAGACAGCAGAGCTTGGAATGAGTGGTGAGCAGGAAGAGAGCAAGATTGAACCCTCCCTAGCAATTCACAGAGTCTATCTATAGTTATCACAGATAATTGGTTTATTCTGGCAAGTTTCTGTTAGTAGATGAGCTAAAGGAACTATTCACATGTACTTGTTCTGACCTAGGCTTCCTGATACAGTAAAAAGCATACACTGAGTAACCAAAAACCCTCTTTTTATTTCAAAGGCTGTGAATTATGTTCATTCACAGCCTGTAATGAGTCACAAATAGTTTGTAAAGAGTGCAACAGTGCTCTGCCCAAGTCTTTCAGGATAAGGCTAATAAGCATCCAACTATCTTCCTTGAAACACTGCCAAACACCTGATTAGCAATTAGATTGACAAGGCCACGTGGAGCACAAAGTAAAAATGGAGCTTCAGAACGTAAACCGACCAGCATGAACAAAGTTGCTTCCTGCAAAGGGTCACATGTCTTTGCTCCTCCTTTATGTCCTATGGGAGGGGCCAAGCCTTACTCCCAAATCTTTCCTTTTGTGTTAACTGTTCTTGCCTTCTGGCAGCTCTATGCATGCGCACACTGGAAATAGGCTCCCCCTGTTCCTCTGCCTCACTGATGTCAGACTCTGGAGGCTCCGGAGGCAGCACATAACTTCCAGATGGCTCTGGTCTTCTCTCTGCCTCCGACGCAGAGTCCTCATCTGAGCCTTCCTCAGACTCCAGGACTGGCCCATGTTCCTCCCCAACCTCCTCACTATCTGACTCTGCTGACAGCTCCACAGGCCGCCAGCAGAACCCAACAGTAGTTCTTGGTTCTTTGGACCTGACATGGCCTCCCCTAAGAAATTAGTCTTGTCCGAACCTTGTTAGGAATCCTACCAGCAGTTTAACTAGTTGGATAATGCCATTGGTATCTCATATAATTACACATTGTTTCATTTTGTATATTTTCATTACACTGTTTTTAATTTTATATTATTTTACTGTGATTGTTTTATGTGTGCACTACCAAGCCTCCCACAATTGTGATACTTCAGAAATGTAATTTTTAAAAATTAAGCAACATAATATACAGTATGGGTAACAAAAATGACTCAGCTAGTACCAGTGGGATGTGTGTTTAGAAAATTCTCTCTCGTGTGAGTGCCAACCTATTTCATCTGTGGACACACGTTTAAAACACTGCACCTATCCATTTTGGATAGGTGTGAATAAAATGTTTTTGAGCTGCTTTTGTGTGAGCTCTTGTGCGAGATTTCTCACAGTGTAGCAATGTCACAGATGTTATTTTGTAGGACGAAAAGCCTGTTGAATAAGGCTGTAGCAGGTAAACTTGGACGGCAGACAGTTACAAGATCTTGCTGAAATACTTTTACAAAATTTTGTACAGAGGTTTATCAAATGATAGATATCTTCAATTTAGTCAGAAAGAAGATTCCTATGAGTAGAAGTCTAAATCACTGTGTATACATCATAGCTGTTGCTGGAAAAGATAGGAAGATTCATATTTATGAGATGAGTTAGAGTTGAGTTTCATCCATATTCACAAGACCTGAGCCAGTGGGCCATGTATTTGTCTAGGACTTTTTATCCTGTTGATTTGGAGACACTTGTATAAAGGGGGGGTTCTAATATAAAATTCTAATTTACTAGTCAAACTATCACTTTTATGGCTTATAAAATTAGGGCCCTGCAAGCACAAGAAATTAGGAAGGTTCTTCAAATGAGTGCAAGTTTATTCCATGCTACCTCTAAACAAGAATCTGAACTACTAATGGCCAAGACAAATTGTTGGTAGATAAGAGTTAATGGAATTCCAGGGTGGGGGTGGCGGGATGGACTTAGATCATTTGTGGGTATGGAAGGATTCCAAAGTGATGATGCATTTGACTCCTTCCTCAAGCTCAGCCTGGTCATCTCCTACAGGCTCAATCTGTGAGCCAAAATACACTGTGGCTGTGTTGGTGATTCCAGTATGAAAGGAGACATACAGATGGAAAGTGCATTTGTTATTACTCATAGCTACATGGGAGAGGAACATATTTCAGAAGGAGTGAGCAGAGGACGGAAAGGAACGAAATTATCTGCATGTGCTGCAGTTTCCCTGAAATCTTAACTACACATATAATACCAAAGAAAACCAGAAGATGTAATTGTACATTGCACCATGATAGTTTATGCCAGGAATTTCAAGGATCATCCAAGTGGTTTGTGGGCAAAGTTGACATCTACTCTATGGTCTTCTTAGTGAGCAGTGACTTTCACCTTGCTATAGGTGGGATCATAATGACTTCAGCTACAGCAAGAGAAGTCTGCCAATCCCTGGATGTTGTCCTGATTTTTTTTGTGCGTATGATTGGGTAGAATATGGATATAATCTAGAATCTGGGTGATGCAACTTTGCTGTAATGAGAGTTGCCAAAATTTCTAAGATTTATATAAAAGCAAGGTTGGCCCTAATTGTTGGCTCTGATTGTTTAATGAAGCATTTACACTACTGCTCTGATTAATATATCTAACTGAATTGTTTAAAATTTAAGGTGAGGATGTACTTTTAAAATGCCAGCACATTACATATAGAATGACTGTTTATGAAATAAGTTGAATTCTGGCAAATTTAGCACTATTTTTCACTCCAACTTCTATATCAGGACATTCCATATGAAGCT